AAGGAAGAGTGGGAACACAATGGAATTTGTATGAAACGCATGAATAGTGAAATGTCAGACAATGGATTGAAGATTTGCAAATTAACCGTTTACGATATGGTTTTCCTATTTTACTGAGTAACTCTGTAATTTGCGATAAATACAATTCGGTCGCCCTCACCTGTGTTCTCCTTCACTACATTTGGTGTCGCTGCCTACACAAAGGATGAAGATTCCATGGCCGAAGGAGTTTGAGGACGGAGATGTGCGGAGCTTCCTGAAGGAGTTCGAGGCCGTGGCGGAGCTGGTGGGTGTGAAGGAGCCGAAGGCGAAGCTGGTGGTGCTGGGGACGCTGCTGAGAGGTAGGGCAAAGGCCGTATATGACAGCTTGGACGGTGCTGGCGGGGAGACGGTCACCGGGCGGCTGATGACGGAGTTCGACAGCCCAGTGGACAGGGAGAAGGCGCCGCAGGAGTTCCGGTTGGCGAGGCTGTCGGCTGATGGTGACCCACTGGTGCTTGCTGTGGAGCTCACCAGATTGTTGCGCCGTGCGCTGCCGAATATCGATGAGGAGTCGGAGGCACAGTTGTCGATGTCGCAGTTTATCGAGAGTGTGCCTGCCGCCTTGTCCCAGCAGCTGAGACTAGTAACGCAGCGCGACCTATGGATATCGGTGAACTGGCGAAGGTGACTCGTCAGCTGATGACACGGACAGTAGCTCCGGTCGGGTGCGGAAAACAGGAGATAAATACTGTTGAGAAGAAGATTGAGGAGCTGGAGCGTAAGGTTGCAGCATTACGAGTAGATCATAAAAGGAACGATAAATGTTACGCTTGTGGAGAGGCAGGACATTGGAAGATAAACTGTCCAAGAAGACGACGACGACGATATTTTAGACATAACATGTGTTCTTTCCGCCCTAGGAATCTGGAGGTTCTTGTACTAGTAGATAGAGGGGCAATTTATGCCAGAGTGTACATAAATGAACAGGAGTTAGTGTGTTTGATCGATACAGGGGCAGCTATATCGTTAATAGGCAAAGAGCAATGTAAGACAATCAAACCTTGTACATTAGCTGTCCACACCATAGTAGGGTATATGCTAGAGGTGTTGGGGGTATCTAACAGCATTGTAAAAATGTAGTGAAGGAGAACACAGGTGAGGGCGACCGAATTGTATTTATCGCAAATTACAGAGTTACTCAGTAAAATAGGAAAACCATATCGTAAACGGTTAATTTGCAAATCTTCAATCCATTGTCTGACATTTCACTATTCATGCGTTTCATACAAATTCCATTGTGTTCCCACTCTTCCTTTCTTGATCTTCCCCCATCTTCTTCTGCCAGACTTTACGTTTACACTCGCGTCATATACTACTTATAAGTAGCGCGCACCACACTGGGTTAGAATCCTGCGAGGTTCAGGAGTCGTGGATGCGCACTGTTGAGGAGTCCCGTACCAGGACGAAACGGCCGTCCAGTGCTTCCAGGTTTCTAATGGCTGTCTAACATTGATTGATTCATGGTTTCAAAAATGTTTAAATATTGTCCAGACAAACCTATTTCTTGATAACTGAACATCTTTTTTTTAAACTGTACTAACGTTTATTTACTTAAATAACTTTATAGAATTAGTCAAGTCATGAAGTCCCGATCAAATGACTCACATTTCCAATTACTATTGATTGTCAAATTCTGTTGATGTATGCGTCTCGATTTTGACAAACTTGAACTTTATCAACCATAACTTTGTTGGAAACTCTCTCAAGAATTTGTCAAAAAAGTCTTCAGTGGTCAAAAAATACTTCCTGTTATCTGGATTCAGTATAAACTTCCCACAGAGTCCTGTAGAAACGATACTAATCAGATAATTATCAATTTTGTCACTAAATTTAACTTATTCCTAAAAGTTTTAGGCATTTTAGAGTTACTCATAAACCAATAGATTTCATTTATTTTCTGTACCTATTCTTCTCTTCAGAATAAAGTTTCTTTCCATGTTTTCAACTTTTTATCTTGTGTTCTCTGTGTACAAATATGGATTATTCTGGCATTAGAAAGTTAGAATTTATTGTTCAGGTGTCAGACATAGTGAACGTGTTGCTGAAACTGAAAATCCCACTCAAAAAAATCAGTTATCAATGAGTATACAAATTATTAGTTCACTAGATGGTTTTTACTGATGACTTCAATTCGAAGTTTATTATTTTCAACAGCTGATAACGATAACTAGATAACTATAGTTATCGTTATCAGCTGTTGAATCAGTAGTAATACATTCACTTTAAAATAATTTGAAATAATTCAGCAAGTTATGTGGACTTTCGGGGGGATAAAATAGATATCAGGAAATCAATAGACACCTTTTCCAATAGTTAGGTCTGTAGATAATTTAAAATTTTCGAAATGGACCTTACCATTTATCATGTATGTTTGTTTTGATGACGAGATCGGAAATGCTTTCTCATTTTTATTTCTTGTATCATATTCTAGTATAGAAACTGTTGAATATAATTCGTAGAAAGTCCTCTATTCATGTTTTACTCTGGTTGATGTGAGTTAACAAGTTATATCTGTAGGTTTTAAAACTTGTGCTATAATCAGAAATGTTAATATTGAGCTGGTCGAAATGTGATTGATCTCTTCTTGGACTGAGATGTTTATATACGAACTGATTGCTACTGAGTGGTGGACGTTACTCTGTTGTCCGCTGCATACCACATTGAATGTTTTAGGCTTTCTCCAGTAATAATAAAACTCCAAAACATCTTGCATATCTAAGAATCACATATTTCTAACTGTTCATGAAATAAATTCAGTTCAACTGTGTTATTATCATCTACCCTTCTAATGAATGTATCTTTACAAGTTTCGTATGTCAATGCATTGCTTCTCTCTCTCTCAGACTTCTAATCAGAATCGTAGGAAACAGAACACGTGGTCTCAGTTCTTGTTCCGAATTCTGATTCATACATGACTCATAAAAATGTACAAGTTTTATGATCATAACAAATATCCAATGTTTTCTAAATCTCATGAACTATACAATTAAGATATTTTCAGTCTGAAAAGTGATTACCACTTCTAATTAGCTGACTTGTATTCTTTGTGAACGCTTAAACATATGACATTAGTTTAGTATTGAGAACAAATTCACATTTTGGACCACATATACATACTATACAATCATCATTCGATAAATCAATATAATGAGTATGTGTACACAAAATTATTCTAAATAATATTTTAATAGATATGTGTGAGTACAAAAATATACAATATTTAAATGTTTACATACAATAAATTCTGCAATAGTTACTTTGTGTTTTAAAACACTAACTTCTAGGCTATAGATTGCAAATTTAAATCCTTGAGATGGTTGAGAAAATTTGTAGCTCAGGTGGATTTAAATCCTAATCTATTTGCTTCGGTTTAAACAACGGGTTAGTAAATATCACTAGATGTCAGAAAAATAGCAGGTTTCAAAAATTGTGATTATAAACTTATACCTGGTAAATTAGTTAAATTATATTGATATTATAAATTTTATAGATTGTAGTTTGAATACCAGGAGGGGCTAGGCATTTGTTTCAGTCTAGTGTGGTACTGCAAAGCAATGCGCATCCACGATCCCACTGAGGATTGGACTGAATCAGAGACTAATGAAATTTATCGAGGTCAAGCGATTACCCATTAATATCATTGGTTGATGGCTTAGCACTATCGCTAACCTATTAAAGTTATAAATGTGTTTGCCGACCTAGCTATCAGAAAGTTATGAGCTTTCTATGAGACTTGAATGTCATGAGTTCGGCATCTGTTTGGATCGTGGACGCGTGCTGCCGGAGACTAATATTACTTCGAAACGGATATTCAGTGCACCCATCAGATTTTCAATGGGTGTCTTCCTAGTGTCAGTTCGTGATGTGTGTTACAAAGACCCATTGTTATTGAATATCATAATGCTACAGATAACTATTGATTTATAATGAAATTTAAAGGTCTCATTTGTAAGTATATTTCTAACAACAAAATACTAAATGGTCCATATTCAACCAGCTAGAACTGATGGACTAGAGGTTTCTCTTGTAATTTTGTAGATTATGTCACGAACTGACTTCAGATAACAATTAAACCCAGAAAGCACCAGCATCGTGTGTTTCAGCTAAATCTTGAACTCCTAAACAGCGAACATACTGAGGCTCATACTCATGATCGTCTCTTACAACAATTGCTTAACTTAAGTTGATATTTTATAGGTGAACTGTATAATTCGAAGATTTCAACAAACTATTAACATCAATAGAATTCTGTATTAATGTCTTATAATTCATTTTCTTTCTAACTCATGTCATTTCGAGTAATTTTCATTGGTTGAAGACGACTAAACGTGTATGTTCTAAATTGGTACATAAACGGATGCAACTAAACATTTGCTATCATTCTATTTCTATCCCAATTTTTGCAGTTAAGTCTTTTGAACAACATCTACGTAATCCATTTTTGTATGACTAAAGAAAATAAAGGCTAAAATTACAAGGAAGTCAATAATCAACGTATAGAACATTACAAACTTAGCATATTTGATTATCCTAGTTAACTACATCTATAAACATAAAATCACACGACACAACTAAACTATTAAGTTATTTGAATAATCTAGTTGAATTGTTATGATGCAGTTGTGTCTCTTTCTCTCCCTCTCTCTCTCTCTCTCCCAGGATTGTTCTCTTATTCATTTTTCTCTACAATGTTAATTTGATGCTAGTGTTACAGTGTGATAATCAGTCACACACTAGGTGAATTAATTCCATGACTGGTTAATAACGTTAGTTTTCATTACTAAAAATGCATGTGTCTTGCATCTCAATGTACAGGTATAGTTACATGTCTTATGAAACTAAATGCTTATCTAGTCAATTTGGAATACTGAATCTTTAAAGAATATTTGGAATGTGTATATTACTAACTATCTAATAGTAGTTGATTAGTTTTTTTAAAATATTTTTTCACATTTTAGTAAGAAAAGGCCAGATGTGGTTACCAGGTGCAATCACTTCTGCATTTGTAGCATTTCTAACTTGGTCAGCTTTAGGTAGTCAACCTAGCAGTAAGTTAAATGAAATTCCATAATTTCAATTTTATCATTTAATTGTTTGGGCTAGTTTTCATCAAAATCTTTTAGAGAATTGTTGAAATTCAGGAAGCATTGGTCAGTTGCTCTTTAGTTGTGGTATTAGGTCCAAACAGTTAAGTATGAGTTTGTTTGATCTCAAGAGTATTTCGTTCTATTGATCAGCTTATAAGAGAAATTTGCCACGAAACTTTATGGCCTTATATTCAGTCTTCAGTTGAACTGTTGATATACAGTGTTTAGAGTATCATAATAATAAAACAAAGTTAATGAACTTTTATTTCCAGCATCCCAAAACTACACTCTGAGTTGTCAACCTTTCAACCTGATATTAAGTCAGCCAACAAGCCTCATTAGCTGGGAACCTAGAATTTTATTCCATCAATGTATGATATGTTCCTGAAACTGGCTTACAAGATCCACATTTTAATCATTCACCTGATTTTCCATGTCCAGTATGGTTGACTAATGAGACTTAGGCTTCCTGTATTTGGGGAATTGATTGCTACTTCTTATATTCTTATAGAAGCGAGTAGGTATAGCGTTAATTTTAAATACAAAATAGGTTTCTCTTCATTAGATTCCAGTATTCAGTTGCTTTTCTGCTATCCGGCTAGACGTGCTGATAATATCTTGAGACATACGGTTGCCTCTTCTCTGTTTCATAAAGATTTTTATCGTTCATTTGTCCATATTCAGGACTAAAATTTCTTTCAATGTTCGTTGAGATATATGCATCCTGTGCAGACTTTCTTGATATACCTTTTCTCATAGGTTGTTTTATTATTGACGGCTTGTTGTTAGCAGTGGAATACATGATGACCCCTTTATCAGCTGAACGTACCTGTGTCTTAGTGTTGTTATTTAAAGTGGGAGTAGAACCCGGTACTTTTTACGTTTGACTCAGAAACATTATCCACTGAGATAGCCACTAACATATTTAAATGGTATGATTTCTATATCAATTATCAATAAGATTTTGAATCATCTCGTTGCTGATATATAGGACTGAATTTTCGTAGTTATCTGGACTCAGTAGCTCAATGAACTACATGTCGTTGCTTAAAGCTAAAGGTATTGGATTCATCACTTAATGTGAGCTTCAATATGCGAATCCAAGTATATTTCCTTCCTTACTTACTTACTTACGCCTGTTACCCCTAATGGAGCATAGGCCGCCCACCAGTTTTCTCCAACCAACTCTGTCCTGGGCTTCTCTCTCCAGTTCTGTCCAATGTTTGTTCATTCCTCTCACATCTTTCTCTATTTCTCGGCGTAATGTATTCTTTGGCCTTCCTCTTTTCCTTTTGCCTTGAGGGTTCCATGTGAGGGCTTGTCTTGTGACGCAGTTGGGTGCTTTTCGTAGTGTGTGTCCTATCCACTTCCACCGCTTCTCCCTGATTTCCTCCTCCACTGGAATCTGGTTTGTTCTCTCCCACAGTTCGTTGTTGCTGATGGTGTATATTTCCTAGCAAGTCTTAAACAGAATCGAAAGCTCTACCGGGATTATACTGTCTGGCACAACACATGTAGTCTTAAAAATCGTTGACATTTGTTGTTTTCTTACCCAAGATTCATATTCTCTGTAGGATCTCTTAGTTCTATTACACAGTTTACATAATTATTACAGGTTTATCATCGAATTTTCCATGGCAAAAACAAACAATGAAAAAGATTAATGATGTTCATCGACAACACCATCAACAACAAAATATCACTGTTCATCCTTTAGTTGTTGTTGCAGATCAATTAAATCGTTTATTATCTCATCAATTCACTCAAACTGATCATCGAGTCAAACTATCATCAACATCACCGACTGAATTAACATCGAATACTAATGATTCAGTTATTTTAATCAATGAATGCCTACCTGGTGGTGTGAATAAACTCAGTGATCATTTAGGCAAAGATATTGTGACATTTTTAGGAATTACAGTTGTGATTAGTGGATTTCTTTATTCAAGGTAAGTAATATTATTAATGATTATTAGTTTGGGAGTTTGTAGAATTGAATTTTGTGATAATAGTTATATACGAGATATAATATAATGAATATGTGCACTATTGCAAAAGTTGAGGGAATATACGTTAGCGCATTCATAAAAATGGATGAAATAAACTCGAAAAAAATTAGCTACACTATTTGCAGCGATATATTTTATTTTGATTTATGACGGATCTAGATCCTTAACTTTTGTGTTCAATTTTCTGAGTAAATTATAAATATGATCTTAGATAAGTGAGGAAAATCAATAAAAAATTTGTGAACTTCACTTACAAAGGACTATGGATTACATTAACTAGTTATTACATTCTTTTAGGGATATTATAGGACATTATGTCATCATAAATCTATTTCATCATTAGAATTCAGTCTGTCTAGTTGCGGTGTGTCTATCAATTCAAGTGATTTGACATATTGTCCACTTTGCTGATTCAATGGACTAGTGGTTAGATGACTAGTAGTTGATCAACATAATTCAACCAGCGTTTAAGGAATAAACAATCATGATATCGGTCACTACTTAGTGATCAACGTTTGTAAATACCTCAGCGCTACAGGAGGTCAGTCGTGGCCCGAATAACTTAGTAGTAATGTCCCAAACTGTGAGCCTTTTTAACTCGTATTTGAATACCGCGGCGGTCATCAGTCCCCTCAAGATTTCAGATGCACCCTACTGACTCTCTCCAACCACCTGTTAAGTAATCGGAAACTATGCATTTGGCGCAATAATTTATTTATCATAGTACTTCACTTTCGACCAGTAAGTTACAGGTTTAAATCCCAACGCATCTATTTCGTTTTAGCCAAATGTATAAGCTGTCAAACAAACAGCATAGTTCATTCAGTATTGAGTGCATAAACTTATAACTGATGAATAAGTTAGAAATAAATTGAACAAATTAATTCATGAATACATTTTAAAGCAAATTAATTCTGTAATTCTCGTTGTTATGCCTACATAATATTTGCAAGCATTTCAATAACCTATTTTTCTTCGACACTAGTAATTATTATTATTATTATTATACAGCGTAATTTTATTGGTTGTGTTTATATTGCATTAATAATGTAACATCCAATAAACTTTTCATGCATTTGTTTTATGCATGCAGATTGCTTTTTTTGTCAATAGACAATTGAACATGGAACTGTACCTATCCAATTTGTCTATTCATGCTGTGATGTAGCTCAATTATACTTAGAAATATAGTGTGTTTTTTTTTATAGTTAGAAAATTATTCATTGTAATATGTAAATTGATTATATTGTTTATCATGTTTCACTATGTAATATTCTATTCATTCAGTTCAACAATCATATATCATGGTTAATATATATCAAATGATGGTTAGTGATCTTACTTATTTGCTTGAGCGAAAGAGAAGATGGAAGGTTTGAAATATATAGACCATTGGTTAAAGATCACATATTTGAGTCAGTAAGGTTTTGTTCTGTTATCTTGAGTTAGTAACTAAATTTTGTATCATTTTATTTTTGTGTAATTTGTTTTAAGAATTTTTAAAAAGACGTTCGTTAAATTACTGTCCAGTACACATGCAAACTGAGTTGTTAATAATTTTTGGTGTAAGGTAAAGTTTTTGGGAAATTTGTACAGTATTAAGAGCTGTAAATAAACATAACTCATTGAAAAAAAAAACATTTGTACAAAGTCATGATGACCGTTACGCTCTAATTTTAGTCAGGATATCTACTTTTAGTGTCCTTAAGACTTTTTATCACCCATTGATTAACCGCGAATTCCCTAGTACGGCCAACGGTGAGGATTGACCTCTGGGACGTTCTACTCACTTCTCGCTGCGAGAGTGGTGTTTACGATATTGCGAGGTCGAAAAGAGAATATCTGGGGCTTGAACCGGGTCAATGGGTATGCTGAGTCTACGTAGAGAAGTTAAAAAAAACCTGTTTACGAACAAATGGTGTATATAAGCTCCAGCATACTAAGGAATCAAATGGAGTATGAACCTATTGTTTGTCACCAGCTACTATGGAACTGCATCTCCAGATGTTACTCCGTTTCGTTGTGGATTAGATCTTTAGTTTAAGGTCTCGAGTAGCTCATCCAAAAGAATCACCTTCGATTTAGGGACTCAAACAGTATCTCAGCCCAAACACAAATCCACTGATTTGTGTGTGGTACATATTTTTTTGGTTCCCTTTGGTAATAATGTTCATGTGTTTAAATAAATAATTAGGTGGGTTTGAGGTTGAGAAAAGTCTTAAATGACCAAACGCCAGAAGATTGCGACTCCTGAGGATATGTAGACGAAGTGTATTGTTGTCGATCATAACTGTATTCAAAGTGGATAAGACTGATAAACCTTAAATTTCATAATATAATTTATTTATCACATCGTTTCGCGTATTTATTAAAACAAACTACATGTTCTGTTTGTGTGTACATATTCATTGTAACACAAATTAGACAAGGTTTTCAACCGATGTCATGTTTTTATGTCGTACACCAACATATTACTCAATAAACTAAATTATTGAATCAGTGTCCTAGAGTTTAAGCGTCTGCACGTGAAACCGAAGGTCGTGGATTCGATTACTGCGTGCAGGGGTCGTGAATGTCCACTACTGAAGAGTTCTTTACTAGGACAAAATAGCCCTCCAGTACCTCTAGATTTCTAATAGTGACCCAGTTAATATCAGGTTGTGATTTCAACAGCAATTCAGTCTCCATAAAATCCCTTCATTAATAATATATTAGTCAATCAATGACTATCTACAACTGTCTTACAAGTTTTATTTGATATTGTTAGTTTCATCTCCACAGGTGATGAACATCATGCTCTCTGTTAACATGTTAACAAGAACTTCTGTATTTTAATTCTAACTGTTAGAAATGGTGAACAGAACTAAAAATTTCTCAAACACAATTCCATTAATAGTAAAATAATGTACCATTTAATAAACTGTGTTAAAAAAATTTATTTTTTTAAACAAATTCTTCAGTCAAACACACAACAGATCTTTGCATACCAATGAATAAAGTAATAATCTTTTTGATTTTTATTAATTTTTATTGAAATAAAATTTTTCACCATCTTAGTGATGATAATCCAGTATTGCTTGTACAGTTTAGAATTTTGATGATACTTTGAATCCGCTTGAACACATTAAACCGTGTTATTTACTTGCATTGATCTATCTCTAATATTTTAAACTACTATCTTGTATAATCGGATTGAATTTGATGATGATTTATGCTTCACTTTATAATGAACGAAACTAAAACTGCAATACACTTGATTGTTTTTTCCTTGTTCGCACTTTTAAAAAATTATTTATGATAGTAAAAGTAATAAAATTGACATATTTTTTATCCATTCTAGTTGATAGATAAATGATGGTCTTTTTCGCTTCTCCTCCTCCACCCATCTCTTCATAAAGTAGTGGTGAATTAATGAAAGTCATTTTTATGATTATTATTCTAGATAATGTTTATTGCTTTTATGTTTGTTTGTTTTTTTTTCACGTTTTTATTTGTTAAATGTTGTTATGATTTCGTTTCCTGACCTAGTAGTAGTAATGATAGTTGATTGGAATTGGAATTCACGATCAGGCTAATTTTTATGTACATTTCCCTCTGAATGTTAATTATTAGATCAGGAGTGATTTTTTTCGACACCTAATGTTAGCGGGACATAGATTGGACTAAAGCATGATTGCATTGCTGTACGCTGATTGGCTCTTTCGTATCCAATCAGCACTAGTCGATACTGAGGGAACATTCTAGAATCCTCTCATGTGAAAAATAGAAATATACTAATGTCTTTTTCTTTGGATCTTCTGTCTTCCATCTGACTTTGTTATTGGCACATAATCTCTTTTCCTGTTCAACCGTGTTCTGATTCGGGACGTCTCGAGTGAATTGCTGTCCAAAAATATTAAGCATTAAGAATAGCTGGGTTGTAATAAAAGAAAATTGTAACACCTTGTCTAACTCATAATGTATAAAGTGATCAGCCGATATGACCACTACACTTGTCTTGAAAGTTTGACTAGCCCTTTGAAGTTTTGGTATACATAAATACGGATACATACTTGAATTTCCACAGTTTTCGCTACCTATGACGTAGGCTTGATATTCCTCGACCTATCAGGAAAAGAGCTTAACATACAATATTTCTCTCTACAAATCAGAATACTTGATTACATCGCTAGTATTTGACCATATGTATCTTTAAAACATTGGTTGCGTATGGTGTCACTACAGAGTAAGTATTGATAAGATAGAAATGTGATAAGTTAGTTGATTAGAATGTAAACCTTAATCGATTAGGCTTATTTCTAGGTACACACTATTCCAATGCGTAGTGCTGATGGGCATTGAAGTAAGTTAGAATAAGATTAGGGGCGGCTAGAGCAGTCAAAATATGTACCAGAAAGTTCAAATTTCAAAGTTAAGATCTTTGGGATAATTACAACCTATCTATATTGTGACTTTTCCCTTAAAACCTAATTTGATCTAATAATCATTATGTGCATCAGCCAAACTTATCAATTAAGCATATAAATCACCAGATACTTATAACCAGAAAATACATTGTTTTTTTCTTTTATAAGTCGTGATTTGTAAGTTTCACTTTATACATTCACCAAAGATTCGAGACTATACGAAACTCAGTTCATATTCATTTTAGTAGATTTTAAGGTGTCTTCGAAAGTTATGATTGGGGGCCCGCGAGTTGATAGTAATCGATGGTTAGAGACCCTGAATGACATGGCGCAGGTGCATTCATTTTTCGTGTTCTCTCAAATCCTAACCTTTTGAGTTCCTCATCACCTTGATCTTTTTCTTCGTCAAATCCTAATCTCTCCGATTAATGCTATTACTTCTTCTATCTCTACTATTATAGGATTTGAATTGTCAATAACATCTCTGTGCTAATGTAGTATGGCAACTTGAACTGATGTACGTACGTACGTATGAAGTTCTACGTTGCTGTTGATTGATTGAAAGTTATGATTATTATTATTATCATCATTATTTAAAATTTCCATTTTTTACACGGTAAACTATGAATTATTTAAATTTGAATTTTTTCTAATTAGTTGTTTAGACTTAATTATTGTTTTAATGAACTATTTAATTGATAACTTCCCGTTGATTTAAATATTATTTTTACAGTTATGTTTGTTCACATAATTATTTTTCTCAAGAGATATTATCTCTATTTTTTTTTCCATGATCAATTTTCACTTCTTAGTTTTTACTGTTGTGTATTGAAGTGTCGTTGCATAATATAGTTATTTGATATTACAAAAATTGTGTTCACTACGTATTTTTCAATAGTATAATCTAACCTAATCTATATTTTCATTCTAATTCATTCACATACGAGTAAGTCAACACTTTTATTACCATCATTATATAACGTATCGATGTGTTTTGTTCTTTCGGCTAATATTAATCAACAGTTTTCATTGTCTTTCTTTCTCCCAATTTAGTTTTCGTGCTTCTATGCAAGCAAGACGTTTAGGTATTCGAACACGACGTGAACGTTTGGTAAGTATATGTATATATATATACATATCTTAGTAGTAGTTGAGCGCGTTGATCACTTCACTCATCTTGAAAATTTCACTTTCCGTAATAAGTTAATATCTGATAAAATCTTGACATGCATTTAGGAAGTTCGGTCAGGTTTAGTAGGCTTATGTCATTTGTCGCTCAGACAAAACAATGGTCTATTAACGAACAAGTTCAGTCTATGATATTTTACAGCCATGAAACATGGTTTCTAACAATATGTGATGGACTGGACGATTTTCATCATAGATGCCTTTAAAGCATTGCTCATACATGTCAGAACAACCAATTAAACAATAATGGGTTTTTAGTCACAAAATAGATGATAAATATAGCAAAATAGTTTCCTTTTCAACCATATTGTTATTGTCTCATTTTGCTGACTATTGTTAATGCTACATTCTTTATGATTCGGTTGTAATTGATATGACTTGATATGATTTTTGCTATGCACACTATGCTTATTATGAATCATCAACTGTTAACTCTAAAACTTTATTTATATGATGTTACTTCAGTAAAAAACCACACCATCAATCACAAACTATTTAGAAATATCTGTCCAATACATGGCCGTACTTCGTAAGTGGTATCTCACTGACGGTATAATTTACTAATCTCCGACTGATGCATATCGAAATTTCTCTATACAACAGAGTATATATATATATGAGATGGTAGTTCATGATTTCCCACTGAATTTACATGGATCTGTCTTTCACAATAAATACATCTGATAATGTCGATCAGAAAGTTCACAATTCTATAGATTTATGCTGAAACCGCGAGGTGACAATCGATTGAAAGAAGGGTTGGTCGTGAACATAAGAGAAATATTAGGAAGTGTACAAAGGATTTGAATCTGACCGATTTGAT